TAACACGCATACCAGGAACAAAATGCCGCGATGGGTCAGCATTTCGACTTTTCCGACGAAGAATTTAATTACACGCGAGAGCTGGTCCAGGTGTGCGGCCCCGCAATTTCCTGGCACTCGAGAGTTGGTAGCCAGTTGCCCGGGGAATATGAAAATACTTGCGGGAGGAAGCCACTGGGTCAACTTTTAGTTCAAATATTTGTGCGTGCGCGCATCGGACGAATCGTTAACTTTGATTGAAGCTCAACGACGGAACGGAACCGAAACATAGCAATTGGTGACTCTCCGGTAATTACTCGATTACGCGTTGAGGCATGGAATTCTTTTAATGACTCGCCCATCGGGAAACAAATAACGCTGAATGGGATTATCGACAATCTCTTATTAACTCGGTTGACCGCCTGTACTTTATCCAAAGGAAGTCTGCTGGTGACAGCTCACGAGTGTTTATTCATTAATCAGGTGATCAGTCGGGAACCGTAAATATCATTGCTCGTGTCGTGAAATTCGCGCGCCAGCACCTCCCGTCCATCGCGTGAATCTCATGCGTCTCAACGCGTTTTTCAGCGCAGGTCGTTTATCCGCTCCCAAGTACCAAAAACACGGCTAGCAGTCCCCTACGAGTGACGAAATTTCCCACCGACACCCACTCAGCGGAGAAATAGAAGAAAAAAAGCTCTGCCCTCTGTTTCGAGCGGAATTCGCGTCGAGTTGTCCGTGACGCGCTCGTTTCAGGATCATTTATCTTTCGCGCATCGCAATTTTATGTATGTGTGTGTGTAGGGGGTAGGGGGAGGGTGTGCTCTCGCGTACACGTTCGCAGGAGCCACACGCGTCCCTCGAGCTCGCGCGTCGAAAACATCCAGGAGGAAGGGGACAACGACTCGCGCGTACGGATGCGTTGTGAAATTGCGCGAGAGGAGACTGTTACCACCCCTTGCTTGCTTTCGTTCGCAGCAGCTGCGAGCTTTGCGGAAGCTCTTTTGTGATTTATTTATACTTTTCCCTTATTATTTTCGCCTCCTTTCATTTTATTTTTTCCACGTGAGCTCTCGCTGCGGGAGGTGATGGTTTCGTGCAGAGAATTTTGTGGAGCGCTTGACATTGGTTTTTTTATGTCATTAGACTAAGTGGGTTCTTTACCACTGGGATTTTAACATGTCTGGAAAACAGAAGGAGCATTTGTGTTATTTTCTTCTCGGAAAGGATTCTAATACCTTTTCTGCATTGGCTATTCGCACTGCGCGTCCTGGCGAAGGAATAAAAATCGTGCCTTTCACACCTGGGCACATGTTTCGCTTCGAACAATTTGTCTCAACAAATCGATTTATGCAAGTGCGCTCTTCCTATCATTCATAAGAAAATGTATATATGTGGGTAAGTTGATAGACAAATCGATACAATTGCATTTGTATAAAGTGCGAAAAATATTTAGCTACAAAGATGGATTGTTCAGTAGAGTAGCAAGTAAATAACAATGAAAATCACGCGTTCTGATACTTGGTTATAAATAAATAAGCAATACCACACTTTCCCCAGTTATATGCTTTGTTTGTACGTACGTAACATAAACTGTATTGTTATTTGTATCTGCGTCAAAAATCTTTCAACAAAGGTAAGATCTTGTATTAGAATTATAGAGCTCTGGGGAGGCATTGTTTTCAAATCTACCTTTCAAGGGTTTTATTCATTTCCATGACAAAACATCCTGTCACAGAATCGACTCGCTATTTCGGAAGAAAATTAGTCTATTTGACGTCAACCTTACATTTTTTACATTACCTTCAACACTATAGTGACAACTTAAAGCTACATGACTTTTATATAATTATACTCTACATAGATGACCCAGGCAGGAAGACCCGATTGGACAATGGAAATGAGGTTCAACGTGTCCTTTTGTATCATTTGTATATGAGGTTTTATAAGGTACTTATAATTATCTTTCGTATTTAATGTAGGGAACACCAGATATTATATTTAACTGGACGGTTTAGTTTTGTGCATTTTTACCATTTATATCTCACAATTTAAATAGTTTTTATCAATTTTATAAGGTCTCTTCAATTGAAGATATATTCTATCGTGACACATTTCATAAAAATAACACTACTAGCCAATCCACTTTAACGTGTTGTTCCGTAAATTACGAATTTACCGTCCAAGCCCTCTGCCCATCACCCATTCTCGATCACCGTACCAGCATCGCCACTCTTTCGCGCAAAAATTTTCCCACCCCAAGAAACACCCCTGGAGGAGCTTCCCCAGAAGCGCTCGATGTGAAATGGTCCGAAAAATACGCTCTATCTGGCACACCAGTACCTGCCCTTGGGAGGATGTGCCAGCACTCTTTTTGCATCAGCAACGCGCGCTACGTCCTCTGACCCAATTTTTTTATTTATTTTTTTTTTTTTATTTCAGGGGCGTTTTTCATCGGCTTATTTTGATGTGTAGCACAAAGTTAATTACTTAGCACTTGGAAGTCAATCGGAAAGCAGATTTTGTACGATATTTAAAGTGATTTTTACATCGACACTGGGTCAAGGGCCAATTACTTCGAGCATAAAATTTAATACCCCATGGGAGACCACAGATTGGAGTATGTACGAAAAAATCTTTGCATAGAAAGTACAAAACGATTTGGGTGCCGAATCTATTGCATCATTTGGAAATTGCATTATTTTCATGGAACTGAAATGACTGATGGGTGCGTTTTGGCCGAAACGTCTGATCCACTTGACTTTTATTCAATTTGACCTCTTCGATATTTTTTACCTGCACCTCTTTACATTCATTCAGCCAGAGAATTTTTTTTTCTTTGTTTCTTTTACGGCACGTTCTTTGGCAGAAATCTTGTGATTTCACCAGTGGGGCTTCTTTTTCACAACTACTATTACAATTACAATAACATGCATGTTGGTCAGTGTTAACTGAAGCATAGATCTTGCAACGAGAATCATCGATGTAGTATCTGTACATAAATATATGATACTTCACAGATCGAGCTTCAGGACCAGCTTATCACGAATATCTGTCGTAAGGAAAAAAAAAAAAAAAACATTAAAAGAATTTCTGACAAATTTCTATACTTTCGATAAAGAGTTATACAGTTTGACAAAATGCCATGCCATCTATACATGCACCCTTAAATTACAACAAATTAAAAATCAATACAATGCACGTGGGTCGCGCACGCTTGCTTACAACGACACGTTACATCAGTCTCCCTGGAAAAACCATTCGAACCAAGGGTTCGGTAAAAAAAGCATCAAAAGTATTGAAAAGCTGTAAAACTCTTTTCGAGCAATCGAATTTCCCTTCGTAAACAACCAAGTCCAAACGCGCTACAATTCAAGCAGGAAGTAAGTATCCAGGCGCCGCTGCTCGCGGGAATGAAGTAAAGAGCGGCGCACGTGCAGCGCTCAACTTTGCAAGTGTCAAGAAAAGAAGTTCGGAATCGAACTTTCCCTCAAGCGATAAAGGGCGTCTGGAGACGGGAGACCCAACTTTTCCTGGAAAACGTAGTCGAGAAATCAGTGCTTGCATCCGCACTTGGAGGGAGGGGAAGGGGCGCCTTACCATGCAAGCGTGCGAAGCTTTCTTTACGGGAGCGACACTTTTGCTTTGAAGGATCAAGAACGTTGGTCCTGTGATCTCCGCGCCAAGGACGGAGTAACAAAGTTGGATGTTTTTAATGTAATTCCACGCAAGTGCTTTCAAAACCGATCGACCGAGAGCTTCGGTTCTTTTACGAGAATGGCTTTTCAATTTGAATTCGATAACAATTTTATTGCAACTTTTCTGAAAAGTCATGGTTTGACGTGAAACATTGCCTTGTTACTCCATGAAAGGGAGACGTGTGGATCGATGAATTCGTGCGTCAGTGGCAAAAATAATAATTGGAAAGCCCTGGCTCTCTCCCGCATCGATTTTCCTCTGTGCGTGAATTTAACTTTTTGAGATGAAACAGTATTTTATCGACACGTGCATATGAGGTGCGGAGAAAGTGACGAGTGTGCAATAAATCGCATAAATCCACTCGTCTGTTTTCTGATAAATGTTTTAAACAGGTACGCAATGATTTATGCATCCACGCATCGATGCACTGAACGCGAGGACATCAATTTTGTAGTTGTCGGTGTTGTTATTATGTATACGTGGTGCAAAAACGGTCAAGTTAATAATTTTATTACGAAATGGATAATTCATAGTTTAGTGCGTTTTAGAATATATGTTGTCGCATGTCAATGAATATTGAGGTAGATTTGTATAAGAAACGCTATTTTAGTTGCTTTGTATAACTGATTTATGTGTATTCTAATTACTTGCAAAATATTAGAGGAAATGCGAGAAACTTTTTAATATAGATGTAAAACAATTTGATACCTTTTTTACGCATTATCAGTACTTGTCATAGATAAATAATTTACAACATCAATGAAAAATTATGTTTTACAAAAAACTACTAATTATTTTAGCGAATATAGTAATTCACAAAGTATTTATTGAAAGGGTTTTAGGTTCTGACGCTCAATCACTTTGACTAACAAACGCGAGTACTGTTTTCCGCAAATCTTGTTTTGTTAAAGTAGTACTGCCGCTACAGGGAAAATCAAATGAGTGCGGATTCACCTGACCTCTTTTACATACCTGGCCAAGTAGTACTAGGCCAATCTATACTTACGATCTTGGGGTTTATGTCCAGCATTAAAAAACATGTTTAAAAAATCGGAAATTTTCCATAGAAATCAATGCAAGTTCCGTAGAAGAGCAATTTATTTTGACATAGTAAAATACATTTTAGGTAATAAAGTTAATTTGTAAAGAGCAAACTCAGATTTGAAAAACCGTAGGGAAATATTGTGTATGACAGTAGTTGAAAGGTGAGTGTAGTAAATAGCTGTTTTTACACCAACGCAATATTTGGCGAAAAAAACAAAGAACCGTTTTTGTTATTGATAATGTTTGTAATGAAAACAAATTTGTGATTTTGCTTGCAGATATCGAAGTTGGTGTCGCACAGGGACAGGCCGTTCCGATGCGAGCGAAATCCAGGAGTACTGGCCCGAGTCGGCCAGGGGGTGAATCTCGCGGTCGAGAGGTTCGTCACAGTCGCCGAGACGATAGCTGACGACAACCTCGAGGTCAAGCAGGACATGTACGAGGCGTGCAAAGAGGCAAGGGTCGCTGGTGAGTCTGCGTTTTTTTTTTTTCATTGCTGCTGTTAAATAGTGTCCTCTTTTTTCTTACATAATACTAGTCACCCTTTGTTAATTTTTTTTTTTTTTTTTTTTTTTTTTTTTTTCGTGGACCTTTGATAAAATGAAAAAAATTATGGAGACTGTTGTCGCGTGCGTGAGGACAATTTTGGAAGACGGTTTTTGATGGATATTGACTTTTTTTCATGAATTAATTAGTCTTTCCCGACGGATAATCGTTTTTTCATTGCTGACGGACTTTTCATAAAATATCAATTTTTTGAGCCATTTCATTATTAAGCGACAATACTTGTTTATGATTGTGGATATACAACAGCAACAGTGTGTATACATTACTTTTAAGATACAAATTTTTATGATACTTGAGAATATGTGCTACCGAAATATTTCTTGACTTTTTCTCATTTGTTAAACTTTTAAATATTTAAAGTACAAATTACAGTGCATATTCTGTAGGTTGTTAGCGGATTTCATTAACTTGGAGCCAAACCACGTACAGTAGTTGTCACTTTTAGGGCTGTTTTCTTCCTCTCTGTCTTTATAAACTTAAAAAAAAGAGCTTATAATGATCATTATGGGGATCAAATACGGATTTTGTTGTAGGACTATGATTTGCTTACTCGTAACAATAGCTTTGCTTCCTTTTAGCTTATCTTGCGTTGCGTAAATGATTGATTTTGAACCAGATGGTAAATTATTTGTCATTTGATTCCTCATCACCACAGAAGTAATAGAAAATTGTCAACTATCTAGTACTCATGTGGTAATTCGCGATAAAAGTTCTATTCGTAAAATAACCACTGGTCAGCAATTAAAGCTATTCCTCTGGTTTTACATTACTATTCAAGGCTTATTTGCAAGACGCTTGATTTTTAAATCTCATAGCAATAAAAGAAATTAAAAACTTTGCAAAACACCCTAGTGCAATGTTACTTACTTTTTTAATAATTAGTTGTAGTGACGTTGAAAGGTAACAAAGATACACAAAAAATGATTATAGTATATTGTGTACATATTGTACCTAATATTTTGAATTTCCGATAAACGTGTATCACTACATCACGCGTATCACACGCTTAGACACTTATTCATTCGTGCTTAAAAAACATCCCTCTTTCTTTTTCGCTCTGGCATACAGATAGAAACACGACGATACATCATCACATCCCACCAATAAATAAGTAACGATACTCGTAGCTTTCCATTAAATCCTTCGGCATTACTCTCGATTTTTCAAACTAACAAAGAAGATCCGAATTCCAAAATTTCCCAGCAACGTCCGAGTAACTCAACAATGCATTTTCACCCCTAGCATAATCCTGCCACTTCTCCAGCGCAACCCTGACAAGACGATTTCCATAGCGGTGCCCCGAAAATGCGTTCACCCCTCGCTCGGCCAAACCCCGCTGTTCGCCCGCGCACGCAAAACAACTCCATTGAGAGCTTGTCCCCGCTCCTGCGACTGACGTCACGCCCGTGCCCGCTGTATAGGTAACGCTGACCTATTTCACCGGCTTCAAGTTTGCGCCCCCCCCCCCACTCGCAGATACCCTAGGGGAGTTTCCTTACACCCTCGCGCGCAACACCGGAACAATCCCAACGAGAAAGGGAGACATAACTAATTGAAGCTGCTGGACGAACGAAGAGCCGAGCGTTTTAATCGTTGGACCGGCAACTGCAGCGAATGGGGCGCTTTGGCGTAACAAAGTTACGATCGCGCCGGGGGTAAAATTTTTCACGAAATTTACCAAGGGATCGCAAAACCGTTTCTACGCACCATCCAGCCTCTCTCTCTCTGCGATGCTTCCTGTGATCCTGATGCTTTATACGGACGAGTAAGTTTCCTCTCAAAGGCTCCCCAGGCGCGATAACCAACCCGGCGAACGTGCGTGAGCACGCGTCTTAATTGTTACAGCCTTTTGTGAAACGAAGGTAGTAAGGTACTTCCGGAAATTTATCGAATACTTTATGATCCGCGCGGTGGAATGGCCGTTTTGACGAGCTGACGATGATGGCCTCTTCGTTAGGCGTTGGCACGGGTGTTTCTCCGTATACGGGTGTACACCTGGGGGCTGATTTAATAGCGTAACAACCGGCCGCGAGTCCGTCATTATTGTACGGGCTTTCAAAGAACGCCTCGTGCATAATACACGCGTATTGACAAACTTCATTGCGCGTCCATTATTTATAAAGAGTACACGTATGTGTTTGAATACTACACCGTACAATGAAATATTTATGCTTTCGAGTGTTGCGCAACAAAGCTGCGGTAAATGGTGGAAGGGAGGGAATAAAACGCATTCCGTGTGAGATACGTATGATTTTGAAGCACGCGAGTACACTCCCGAGAAGTACAAAAGAGTGGCTTGTTTGTCGATATCTATTTCCAGAGACAATATTTCTCGCAGCTCGAGCTTCCCTGCGTGCACGTTAACCTGGCTATTGCCCTACCGAATCTTATTTATGACGTGATGCAGTTCCATGCATCTTGGGAGCTTAAGCGTGTTACAGGGGGTGTTTGGTATCGCGGAAATGCAGAATCGCGTAAAAAATCGATACTCACGTGACGTAAGGCGTAAGTATTTATGAGCTCAATGGCACACGAGTGTTTTTTCAAACTCTTGTGTTATGGTTTTAGTCTAACCTTACATTTTCTTCTTAATAACCATTTTAGCAAATACTTTGTCTCGCCTCCAAAAATAGCTACGTCTGCATTCCAGTGGTAGTTTGTCATCGATTTTAGTTTGAATCAATATTTCACAAACTAGACAAACTCCGTCAAACCAATCAATAAGAAATCGTTTTCTCTTGCCTTTACTCAAAATGGTTCACTTATTAAAAATTAATAAAATTAATATTAAAGCTGTGATTCTCATGGCCTTGTAAATGATTTTATCAAATACTAGTTTTTGTTACAAATGTTAAGGGTAGTTCTTCTAAAAATAGATAGTTTCAACGAAATCGCTATAAAATTCTTTTGTTATGTTGCTTCAAACATTTTTTTTGTTCTCAAATACTTAAATAAGGAGAAGCTAGATCTCCACCAACTAAACTAAACCAAGAACCTCATGGTGCACCCCGTCCAACTGAGCATGTGATAGAGTTATCTGGGAGTGACCAAAAACAACTGAATGATTATAAAAGTATAACGTTAAAATCAGCCCTAACAATCTATCCTAAAAACACCCCGCTAGCTTTTCCCAAAGTCCCCTCGCAAATTCCACTTCGCACCGATAACGCGATAGCGTGGCAGAGCTCGGCATAATTAACCAGCTGAACCGTCCGGCCGGCTACATGTTTACGAGTAGCGGAAGCTCTTCTCTCCTCCCGTGAATCAAAGCTTTACGAGCCGACCCGTCGTTTGCATAATTCATGCAAAAGTCCCAGGTACACGTACTTTTTTCTCGCAAATCTTTTCCAATACAACTTCTTTCGGCCAATCCGAGCTCGTTAGGGAATTCCACAAGTAGTGCCTCGGCCCTTCAAGCGTCGGGAGGGTAAGCTGCTCCGGTTTCTAAACTCCGTATGCAATTTACATCTAGATTTGATTAAAAAGGCCTGGGCTACAACGAGCATCTAAGTAATTAATGTGGTGGGGTGCTGTTGTTTTCGTTCGTTTGTGTGTGGATTATGCAAGCCTATTCACTTTCGGGCAATGAAAGAGTCGAGTTGGGAGCAAACTGCTGTCGCAATACATGACTCTCGCTCCAACTGGGTGATTTGTAAGCAAGAAAGTGAGACGGCCGCGATTGTTCAAACTTTTGGGGAAACGCGTGTGTGTGGGCTTTTGCTGCGATGTACTGGAAAAATGAGGAATGCGGAAGACTATTCGTTGGAAAACTGTTTGTAACGAGTAAGTAAGTATACGTGGGGATCCGATACTCGGCACTCTCAAGTTTAACCGCTTCTGTTTCCGGGAAAAGAAAAATAATTGTTCGGGAATAGTTGAGATTAAAATGCTATTTGAAAAAAAAGCTATTTCGAAATTGTTGGGAAAAAACCAATCGTCAGTATAGATGGATGGATAGTAGCAAGTTTTAAGATGTATCTCTTTGTCCTTGTCATGTTAAAAGTTTTTTTTATCGGTATTTAAACTTTGAAAAGAATACAATAACTGATGCAGTAGTTCTTTTACGAGTCTCCAAATTGGTCAAACAAAATGAAAATTTAGAGACGTTCTGTACCAACCACACCATACGCATTTTTTAATATTTTAAAATGTAATTATCACAAGTAGATGAAAGTATATTACGAAACTAAGGATACAAGATAGATTTTGAAGTTTTCTATAAGAGTACTAACCATCTCAGCATCAACGTCTTGAGAAATAGCTCTGATGAAACTTAAAAATAATCTACGATTATAAATAACATGTTTGTAAGTAGTCATTAAAATGTGATTGATCAAGATGTGAATGATCAAGAGGAATAGCGAATTTTTCTGGCTGCCAATTCAAGAAAGAAGTCAACACTTGACACACACATCGGAATAGTAGGGTGTATTCCCAGAAGTAGCTATTTTTCCTTGAGCTGTAGTTAGATGTGTAATATTTCAGTTATTTATTAATGAATTCTAAACACAGGATATATATATATATAGCCAGAGAATTTTTTTTTCTTTGTTTCTTTTNACCTATATAAATATATATATATTAGTAGTCTTTATTTATAATGCACACGAGGTAGGTACTATACACGAGAGGTCCGGCTCAGTGAACGCTCGGACTAGGTCTGGTGAAACGCCGAAACGGTACATAACTGCAGTATACATGTCATATGGTACACTTACTAGGCTACTAGGTGGCGCCTCTCATACATCAAGTAGTGGGTCGCGCGTATACAACAATCCTTCTCACTTAGATTTAAGAACGCTGGGGCTAATATAAAAGAAGATGAAATAAGTAATTACAAATCAAGGCGCTGCGGCGCTTTTCGTACCCGAGACGAGCGTCTCGGTTCAATCGGCTCAGTT